CTTCTAGAAGGTTCGTCGTCTCTTTTCGATGCAGTTCCTCTTCGTTATCGTCCTTTTTCATGGTTGCAGTGCGCCGACGCGAGTAGGATGGTAATTGGATAAGTTAATTAGCTTTTTAAATGAAACTTTGTCGAGCTTTTAGATGCTCCCTTTTTTCCTCCTCGGCAACTGTACCTCATCGTTGACGTCTTCGTCGTAGTGCTCATGGTGGACGTGGCCCGTGTTCCCTTCGAGGAGCCTTGAAATAAGCGCAAAAGCCAGCAAACCCTCTCTCTCTCTCTCTCTCTCTCTCCCTCTCTCTCTCTCTCCCCGCATCTTCTGACCCTTAATTGAAGCTATAACAGGTCCCTAGCCTCGAGCGCTCTTAATGCAGCGGGACTGCGTCACTTTAATTGAAAGTGCACGGATTCCTCTGATAGCTGTGGCCGCTTCGAGGTGCGGCGCTACAGGAGGAGTAAGGTATTTACCTTAAATGTACCTTGAATTGCGTTTCCTACTAAACGCAGACCGAACACCATGCTCCGTGTGTGTACACACAGAGAAAGAGAGAGAGAGAGTCCTCACCGTGTTTATTATCGCACAATTTTATTTCTCCTTTATCTTGTTGAGCAAAATTTTATTGTTTTATACGTGACTCCGTAAATATTTGATCGACTCCAATATTTGGTCGTTCCAATTTTATTTTTCTTACGCGACATTTTTTCCGTTTGGCGAAAGCTGATTCGAACGCTCAGAAAAAGTAACCTCAAAGATATCGGATTAAGCCAAGTTTTATCAAAGTTTCATTCTTACTCGATAAAGCTCCTTGCAAAAAAAAATATTTAAAGAAAGAGACTTAAGAAATAATTTCGGAGAAGCGTGCCTTTCTAAATGCGATCGTCGATTTTTTATTTGTTTCGTTTGCGAATGACGTTAAATTTCTATTTGACACAGTTACAAATGTCGTATTCATAAAGCTCGTAATATAAAGTTCTTTCGGTGAACGATGGAAAGGGATTAGAGTGACGAGAATGAAACAACGATAGTACGCTATTGCCAAGTAACACGTTTAGATGTAATTCAGACGACGATGTCCGTGGTACTCGTAAGTCAAGTTACACCACGCGGCGTCCGAAGATTTCGGGCAGTCCAATTACAGCTCTGAGTAATCATCCAAAGTTACGAGTTGCCGTTAACAAGTACCCTACTCTTGGAGTATTAACGCAGTTCCTGTTTCTTAGCCTGGATAATTCCTTGAAATCGCGTCGGAAACTTCCCATCCGTAAACGTAGGGAGAAATAGAGAGAGAAAAGAGAGAGAGAGAGAGAGAGAGAGAGAGAGAGAGAGAGAGAGAGAGAGAGAGAGAAATGGGGAGAAAGCATCATTTCGACTAACACTAGATCTCTCGGCAAAGATCGATTGATTCGTCTTTATTAGAAATGTAATTTCTAATTTATGCGCATACTGACATGTCATTTAAAAATATAGCAAGCAAAGGACGGGGTACAACGTATAAAAATAGGAATAAATCAAATACGCTTACGAAAAAATATATATTTACGTTCCTTTGTCGTTTTACCTGAAAAGCATCCATTCGAGGATCTATCGTATATATTCAAGTACTCTTTTACTAGATCATTCCTCTTAACGAAGCTGCTATACGTATACGTATTTACTTACGTATATATGTAAATTCTTGGAATCGGTCTAGCTTCGCGTTGGATGGAAATAAAAAACGTGTCTTTGTACTACGAGCCTACTACGTACGAACGTCGCTGACCTACATAAATTCTTGAAAGAACCTGACTGGCACAATGACCCACTTAATTTCTCGTCGGACCGTCAAAGTTAATATCTTTGAAACGATAACTTCTTTTATTTAGACGAGACTTTCTTTGTCGATAGATCTTTTTCTACGCGTTAAGAAATAAAACTAGACGAATCGTACTAGTTGGATTCGAGTCGATTCTCGTGCACAGGCTAAAGCTATTCGCTTTACTTCTTCCTCTTTTACGAGACTATAGCATAAAGACCCCGGGTATAACCTCGTATCATCGTATGGCGTACTATGGCGATAGCTCGAAAAAGACGATCGATGTAACCAGTATCGAGTGGCAAAAGTTGAAAAATCATCTCTAAACGTAACGCGAACCGTCGATTATTACGCGATCATTTGTTTCGTCAAATAATCCTATTGGAAGAAACATAAAGAAATATAAACAATAATAAAATCGGAAAATAAAGAAAACAAAGACGGCGAGACTACATGGAATATACGAGAAGAACGTTTGAATATTAAAATTATGAAATAATATGCGCATACGAGAGCGTTCTTTTATTCGTCAGTCCAATGTCGAATGAAAGAGAAAAAAGAAGAAGAAAGGAGATATGAAAAGTGCGCATAGTACGAATGAAGGCTCGTGCCGTTCTCCTTAAGAGAGAGAGAGAGGGAGAGCACTTTTTTGACAAAGATAAAAAGCTAGAAAAAGCGCGAGCTAATGAAAATCCCGAAAGAGAGAATGACGCAATGGGAGATTAAAGGAGCGAAGTAAAATACGAGAAAATTATTGGCCTTACGTTTTTTTCGACAACTCCCCTATCTTATATTCATGCCAACGAATTAGTATATTCGAGAAATGGGGAAAAAAGAATACGTCATTGACAGAAAAGGTGAATATGAGAAAATTTGTACTACGAGCCAAAGAGCCGAAAAAGAAGAAAAACAAAAGATTCAACGAATATCAACAAATAAAAATTGAGAAAGAAGGTAACGCTATTATAATACGTTGAAAACAAACGTCGTTATCTCTTTTGTTCCTTCAAGCGTAGAAATAATCGTAGCGTCGGTAATCGTGACCGTTCGCGAGGTCTTTCATAACGACAACGCAGAGCGAACCAAGCAACGTTTTCAATGGACAAAGGATCCTGTCGAGTAGTCGACGAGGAAAAGAGAGAAAGTACCTTTGGTAGGGCATACGCGAGAATGAAAGGGAGAAGCAAAAAAAAAAGAAAAGAGAAATGACGGAAGGCGAGTAATTAATTATCCATCGAATAAGAAAACGGTGGAGTCCGACGAAACGCCGATATTACTACTTGCCGCAAAAGAACCCCTAGGAAACGTTGCCGTCTTTCTCATTCTCGCTTTCTACGAGCTACAGTTTTTCTTTCTCGGTGAATGAGAGAAAATACATGCATAATTAATACTCTTAACTTTTCTTTTGAAAAAAACAGGACGTTCTTTGCGTCGGGCAAACGCCGACGATAATAACAGAGCATTGCCAATGGGTGACGCGACAAAGAAGACACGTTCGTATACACGATTTAGATGGATAAATACATGCAAGATCTATGAAAAATATTAAAACCTAGATTAATCGTCGTTTACACACCTACATATAACAAAAGACTCTCTCTCTCTCTCAACAAATAAGTACCTGTGCGGCACCCGCTATGCAATTACGTTCGTCATTTTAAAATGTAAAAACAATGTGTATATATATTCGCTAAGAAATATTACAACTGTCGATAGCACATGAACACATATCGTTATCGCGTGTAATTAGAAATTCAGATAAACTCGTTATTTCAAAATTCGTTTCATTCAATAGCACTGCTGCGAAAAGCAGCAAGCACCGTTAATTAACATTTATCAACACCCTTCAACAATAACTCCTTTTAAATCGTCGGGAACTCACGAATCAAACATTCGTACGATCATATAGATAACGAGCCCACCGAGTAATTTCCAATGAGCTTCATTACAGTTCCCTTCAAAGTTTCCAGACCAATCAGGACTTTATCTTTGCCGTCATCGTTACAACGGGGAGAAGAGAGAGAGAGAGAGAGAGAGAGAGAGAGAGAGAGACGGAGTATACCGTGCCAATCGATTCTCTCGAGATCGCGAGAACTTAAGCAGCAGGTGTAAGCTTCGGGGTAAACTTTCCTGCGATTAAGACAGGCAAAGCACGGAATTACCGGCAGATAGCCGAGCTTACTAACGTTTCATCGAGATTTCGATGAAAACGATGAACGTGTGATTATCGTACGTGATCGATAACAACACGATTCCTATCGTTAATTACGTTATACGTATCCGAAAAATGATTCGATCGATGTCCATGCGATATATCGCACGATTATACTAATAGTAAATCACGAAACGTCAGTCAAATGTGAGAATACGTTCTTCAACGTTTAAAAGTAAAACGATCGACATTGCGCGTTTCATAAAATTTCGATAGTAAAATAAAAAGTAAATAAGCGACGATATTACTCCTCTCGTTGGACGTGTTTAGTAGTAAAAAGCAATCCCTCTTGTTAATCTTCTATCGTGGATCTCCGTTCCAAATATTTGCCATTGATGCACGGATACGTGAGAAAACACGAAAGAGATTCTTTCATGGTGACAGAGAGCCTGGGAAAGAGGCGATACACGAATCTCCATTGACACGAGTTTGCTTCCTTAGGAACGATTTGACAAGAAATCAAAGAAAGAAAAAAAGAAAAAGAAAAAGAAAAAGAAAAAAAAAAAGAACAAAAGAAAAAGAAAAAAGGAAAGAAAAGAATCAGAAACGTCCCGGAGACGGATTATCGTTCTCTGGAATTCTCAGTCGCATGAACTCTTTGCACAAAAGAACGTAATTCGCAAAAACTATCCCGCTATAAACTGTCGTATAGAACGTACACACAAGATTTTATTACTTTTCTTAGTTTCTTCGAGAAACTTTCCTACGGATGTATTCCTAGCGTCAAACTTTCGAGTAAATACTCACGTATTTCCGATTCGTCTTGAAAAGCATCCATCTTGCGAAGAAAAATAAAAGGAGATACATGTGCAAAGCGAAAATGTAAATTTTTCGTAAAATCGATCATAACCTAATCGTTATCTCGCGACGTGCTACTAAAAACACAAAAAAGAAAAAAAGTGGAAAAAGAAAAAAGAGAAAAAAGAGCAGAAAAGAAAAACATGCAGCTCCGAATGGCGATGATAACATCGGGTCACGATGCCAACAAATATTTACCTGTCGTCCTTGTCATTTCTTCGTCGTTCATCCCGCAAAGGCGCAGCCCTTTCATTAACGCGTGCGGTAGATCCATTCCCCCCTTCCCCCGTTTGGGCAATGGCTCGAGTCACTCGCTCCTCTCTCTCCTTTCCTCTCATTTCCTCTCCTTTCACCGATCACATTCTTCGTCGACACACCGAGAAAAAAAAAAGTAACGAAAACTTCTTTTCCCTTTTCTTAGTCGAACGGTTGGTGGTAACCGCGAGAACTCGGTTATTACGAACTTTTTGCGAGTTCGATCTTCGTACGATATTTTTTCGATCCTTGTCCGGGACAAGGGAAATAAAGACGAGATAACAGTTCGATACGCTATTACACTCGAAAAGGTGCGATCTTATCGAGCATCAGGATTCGCGATCGTTTTTTCGAGGACACGAAGCGACAACGTTGCCCCGCCACGAGACCGCGATGGCTATCGCGCGCGTTGGGACCTCCGTATATCGATCCCACGCTCGCAAAACTCGCGAAACGAGAACGCTTATATTTCTTTCTCTCCCACTCTTTCTCTCTACGAGCACGGGGATTCCCGCGGACGATTTATTCGCAACAACGAGATACGTCCGTCCTCTTTTATTTTGTTTTTATTGTCTCGAGATACGTGTCATTTACGTTCTATCCTCGAACCGATTCCGACACGAGAAACAACGACGAATGTACATCGTCGTACGAGGAGCAAGTTTCTTCATGCGAAAACAAAAGTATTCTTCGTCGTTGAACATTCAATTTTCTCTTGGATCATCGGTATACTAGCCACTAGCGATCATTCACTTTTCACCCGTTCACTCTCTTTATATATATATATATATATACATGCATGTGTATATATATATATATATATATATGATATCCGAAAATATTCGGCACACAGGATTATCATCGAAGAAACTCGCTCGCTCGTCGCCGTCGTCGTCGCCGTCGTCGTCGTCGTCGTCGTCGTCGTCGTGATCCAAGAAGAAACGTGATCCAACGAGCGACTAATCCGGATCTCGAGTTCTCATCGTGGAAGGCTTCCTGATATCCCTTGGAGATCGATCCATAGGTTACTGTGCTTTCTACTTGTAGGGGTGGCGGCATTCGATCGAGGACGCGAATAAAAGATTATCCATTAAATCTCGTGCGATCTAGAGGGAATGGATAAAAAGGTAGCAAGAGATTACGATAGAGAAGGAAAACGAAAAGGTCGTCGTAGACGAGACGCGAAGGCTCGGCACGCACGCGAGCTTGCCGGCCGACTGAACCACGGCTCGAGCGTCGAACGAGCCCAAACCCGAAACTCGACTCGTCTCCGTCGGTTCTCCTCTTCGTGTCTCTTCGCTCCCCCCCTCCTCTCTCCAGTGCCAGCCTCCTCTCCTCGTCGCTCTCTTTTCCTTGGGGACATGGGCGCGAGGGGCGTGGGGGGGTGGGGCAGGTACACTTCGGGGTTGGAATGAACAAATGCGACAGAGAGAGAAAGAGAGAGAGAGGGAGAGAGGGAGAGAGAGAGAAACCATGCGCGCAGAGGGATGGAAGCGAAAGGGCGGGAGCACTCGGCGCGTGCGCCAGGTGAATCGCCAGACGAAGAGGAGCATCGCGAACGTATACTTTCTACCTGACGTTCGTGCTACTTCCTTTGGCTCGACCGATTTAATATCTTTTATCTTATCTCTATTTATAAATACTCTTAGCTCGTTTACGATTCTTCCTACGAATCGAATACTTTTTCCTTTACTTCGATTAATATTGATAATTAAAGTATATACTTTTATAAAGCCTCATTAAACGTTCTTTTTCCTTTTCTTCCTTCTCAATGATGCAAAGTTTTATCTCGTAAGGTCCAACGTCTTCGAATGTCTCGAACGACGAAGCATCGATTTTTCTCCTTCGAAACGTACACCGGATTCTACCGAATGAACTATTCTCAAACCAAATTTTTTTTCGCATCTATTAATACTTGAAACTCTTATAGATTATTCCTTGATGATTCGACGCGAAATCCGTAAGATTTAAAAGCCATAAAGACCATTTTACACTCTTCTTAAGCTCTCATCGAATTCGGATATATCGAATGGAAACTCGAATGCACAGACGTCGTTCCCGATTAATTAACGTCAGTCACGATAAATCAATCGAATCGTTGTTCTCGATGCAGTCAACGATTCCCCCCGGATATGCCGTCTTGATTCTCCTTTTCCTCCCCTTTCCCTCTTTCTCTCTCTCTCTCTCTCTCTCTCTCTCTCTCTCTCTCTCTCTCTTTGCTCCTTCTCTTCCTCACCTTCCCTCTTCACTCTCTTCACTTTCCACGAGGTTACCCCCGTTTCGATGTAGGGAATCAATCACACCCGAAACCACTTCACCCTCGAACTTTGGCAATATGTCTCACCGTGCACATACTCATCGATTCCGTCGCATTGCACTGTTACTACTTCTACTAATACTATAAAACGCGGGCTAAGGTAAAAAGGTCAGTATCGTAGCCGAGAAATGCGCGATCCTTCCCAACTTCTGTTATCGCTTTCGCAACGATAATCGAGTACGCTCTGCGAGTCTTTAAGTGGAAAACTCGATCTATCCTTTCTCCATGACTCTACTTTTAGTTCTACTTCTTGGATTTCTTTTCCATATTACGCGACCTAACGACAAATTCTTTTTTATCGCGATTTTCAAGATGCATACTTTTTATGCATAATGTCAAAGATGGACTAATCATCAAGAATTCGTTTCTTTGGAATTTTCTCCTTCGACAAATTCTTTCGCCATTCTTTTTTGATCTGTCATTTATCGATTTGTCGGAAAAAAAAGAAAAAAAAAAAAGCCGAAATGATAAAGGGACGTAGTGTGCGAGAGGAGGTCGACTGCAAAGCGAACCAAACTCCATCGGCCGAGGTCACTTAATGAGTACAGACAATATAACGATAATCAAGATAACGCAGGCAGCGGCGAGCCGCGAGAGATCCGTTTAGCCTCGATCAAATTGCCACTATTATCAGTTATCGAATTATTACAGCAAATTGTTCGCGTTTGCCTTTAACCAGGCATTACCAACTGTATCGTAGCGGCAAAGCTCCGCGACTTGTTTCTCCTCGTTTATTTTCACCCTTAGATTTTTATTTCTCGCACGAACGAGTTCGTCCTCATTCGTCTACGTTTCTCTTACGTCGTCATTGCTACTCGCGCCCTCGGTATCCTGCGACCAGGTGCACCATCGTTCGCCTAAGCACGCACAGTAAATTCCAAGTCGAAGAACTTTGTACACACGCGCGCACAAACGCTCGCAACGTTACGTAGGAATGCAACGCGACGCCAGTCGAAATGTGCTGCTACCATCGGCATAGCTTCTAGAAAACGGCACGAACATAATAGGAGAGAGAGAGAGAGAGAGCGAGAGAGAGAAAGAAAAAGAACCTCGACAATCGATGCTACCTACGGCATGTATCTTCGTTTCTACCGGATACGATCATAATACGCTAAGTCTGAATTATAGGTATTGGCAATAGCTTTCCGGCACATCCCGTAGAAATATTCTCTTACGCCATCTCTGCCTTTCTAGTTTTATCTTCTTCTTTCCTTTTAGCCTTACCACAAGGATGAGCCTTACGAACAAAGTACCGCTATCTATGCTTTATGGTTATTTTCTTCCTTTCCCTCTTTTGCCTTTTGCCTTTCGTTCTTTCCTTTTACTTTGGAACGCTTCTCCGCCCCCCCCCTCTCTCTCTCTCTCTCTCTCTTTTGCCTCGCGTTTGATGTAACAATAAGCTGTTCGAACGAAAGGAAAAACGAAAGTTTACGCTTTCTTTTGGAGGTACAATGAGAATGACTAGAGGGAGAGGAAGAAAAAGAAAGGTACATTAGGAGAATTATGCAGCATGAGATCGATTATACGTTTTTATATCTTACTCGTGACTCCTACTCTCCGGTGACCAGCATAAGGCCTTGAATAACGATCCGAGCCGTCGTAATAATAAATATCTATGTATGGATCTCCCTTATCTCTTTGACCGTACATTAAAGCAACCCTTTCCGTAGGTAGGCTCCCCTCCATGTCTCATTTCCCGGTACACCACTCGAGTAACGCGTATCGTACTATGTCGTTTTTCAAACTGTCCGCTGGGCACGCGCGGCCCCTTTCTCTCGGCGCGCGTATACGCTCGCCGAAATTCCGCAGGGCAGAACTTTCGATCGGCGAGCGTGACCTCGTTCGCGATTCCATAAGCGATCGTTGATACGAGAGAACGTAAGACGAAACTTGTTTTTCTATTCACTTTTTTTCCCGAGAGTCTCGAAATAAATAAAAAAGACAGCGGAGAATGAAGGAAGAATAGATTGGAAATCTATGTCCGTTTGTCTGGTCCGGGCTCGAATTCATATAGTCTTATTACATATAGACGCTACGTCGGCTGGAAGTCTCGTTCAAATATCGTAGAAGGGGGTTAGAAGTAGAGGCGATGGTTTCATTCGGCTCTCAGTGTTCCCGAATCTCGGCGGGGTTAATAGTCGTCGAATAGTGCCTGGAGGGATCCGGTAGGAACTACTGCGGGTCCGCTTCCTCCTTTCTCCTCCTGGTTCCATTATTGTTCATTTCTAAAAGATCGAATCTCTAGCATTCGGCGGTCTCTTATTCCCTACAACCCATCTAAGCGCCTTTCCATCCGTCACTCGTTCGTTATAATAATATCTTCTATATACCGTCTATCTCGGACGCGACAGATCACACTCACTGGAGACATTAAACGTCCTGCGTCGATGGTTGGACGATCGACGGTCATCTTTTGAAAATCCCGCGCGTATCGCCAATTCGATTCGAGGTTTATCGATATGTGGGTTCGTTATAATCCATTCGGATTTGATTTAAAACGTTTTCCAAGGATATGCACTTTTATCGACCGATAGTAACAATAGCTGGTTGAGAGAAAATAGGAAAATCTGTAATTGAATAAAATTGGTAGAGTACGAAGGGAACGCTTTAATCGTGGTCAGGATCGTTATCTTGCTTCGATTCTCTCGCGATAAAAGTGCTCCTCTTTGGGAATCATCGACGACGGTGGTAAGATATGGTAATATTCGACTCGTTATTAACGCCGATAATGAATGAGTTCGTACTGCGGAACGAACCTCATCATTTTTTACGTTGAAAACTCGAAATATTACGTTTGGTTACGTTATCCAGATACATTAGGTAGGCTTCTATGCCGAACACCTCGTATGTCCAATTACGAAAAGAGTGTTATTACCTCGAACTCGATACGATCGAATTATCTTTAGAGAAGCGCTCGTTTCATCGTGAAAACTCGTTTCTGTACGTTCTTCCTTTCCGTGAGTATTTTATCGAATTTTATACATATAAATTGCAGACGCCAAACCACGACGAATCGTCGAATACCCGAGGAATATAACGATATTTGCCGGGAAATAAAATATTACGGACGTTTCTTGACGATAACTCGCCTATATTACGTGGACAAATTCCATAACTGGAATGTACTCGCGTGATGACAAACGGCGGGCGCATAGGCAAGGGCGAAGGCAACCTCGTAACGTCAGCTACTCGGCCACGAAAGCACCGATCCGTTTATCTAAAGAAAATTTATCTTAAGTACCTTCTACATGGGCGCGCGCGCGCATTCAGAACGATACACGAATAGTATCCAGGAGAGATCGATTGTGGTCGATGCCCATAGGAGATGATATGATGTTCGAACGTATACTATAGACTTACGTGCATAGATTCTACTTTCGGTCGAAAGTTCGCTCGCCGGCAAAATTTCATTGGCCTCTTTCATGGAATTACGGTGCCACGAGTGGAAGGAAGATAACTTTCTATGCAAACAAAACCGAAACACCATTCTCCCACGGAAATCTGTCTCGTCATCCACCTCGTAGAATCGCCGATCGTGCATCAAAGATACCCTCGAATATCTTCTCTCCCGAGTCGAACGTCAGCCGCCGATCGATATGTTTTCCCATTCGAGTAGCCTTCCTTCATCGCGACCCTATATCAACTCGACATAAACAAAACTATATCCTTGTGCTCTTTTCAACATTGATCATTGCATTTTCCTTCCTAATTTTCTTCTTATTTCTTTTTATTTCAATGCGAGACAGCATTGTTGTCGTCTCTTCGTATCCCGCCACTCGTTCCCTCGGTTTCTTCTTTTTTCCCCCCTTATGTTGCGAAAACGAGAAAAGGCGCCGAGGCGAGGTAACAATGTAATTTTGTGCCCGTAACGTTCCAACGAGAGAGAGAACAAGCCGAGAACGCGACAAGATTGTCTTTCGCTCGGTG